AGGAAGGAAGGAAGGAAGGAAGGAAGGAAGGAAGGAAGGAAGGGAGAGAGGGAAGGAAAAAAGAAAGAAGAGGGGCAGCAGGATGGCTCATTAGTTAAGGGCACTAGGCACCACCTCCACATGTGTGCTATGTCGTACATGTGTCCTCCCCACACAAAATAAGTAGGTATGATTATTTAAAAGAGAGGGCCAGCAGGATGGCTCAGGGGGTAAAGGTACTTGACAACCTGAATCCAATCCTTGGAACCACATTACGGAAAGAGAAAGCCACCTCTTTCCAAGTTGTCTTCTGACTCCCCCATACATGCTATGACACATGTGCCCAGCTGCATATACACACACGCACACACAATACATAACTGTAAAAAAAAACAAACAAACAAAAAAAAACAAGTGAACAAGACCTGAGGGACAAAGTTGACCTCTGACCCCCATAAGGGGGGCACACAGTACACCACATGGGCACATACCCACACATACAAAGAAAACCTGCAGGAACATCACTTCTGGTCACATACACAGACACAGACATGCCTGAATCACAGGAGGAGACCCCACCCTACCACCAGAGCTTCCCAGGATGCAGCAGACACACACAGACTCGTCTATGGTGCAGCCTGGCCAGCACCTCCTGGAACCACTGCTCATGTAGGGTTAGGGAAATGTTTCATTTGCAGCTGGTCGGAGACCCGCCCACCCTGGTAACCTGGTCCCTGGTCCTGAATAGAGCCTCTGTGCTGCCTCGGGGCAGCCAGCAGCAGCTCTGGATTGGGCCGAGTGTGAGAAGTCAGAGGAGGTAAGGCCCCACTGACTGAGTCACATATGTTGGATCTGAGGCCTCTGGGGCCAACTAACTACAGCTGGAATCCTACTTCATCTCTGTTACTTCTAGAAGCTTCCCCCCAAACCAGCCGGGGAAGAGGAGACAAAGGAATCCTATGCCCCAGCCTATGTCCACATCTCAGGAAATGTCAGTGTGAATTCCTAGTTCGCCCCATGAAAGGAGTCTCCTCAGTTCCTTGTGCAGGCGGAAGGCAGGATCTGGGCAGCTGTAGCTTTCCGGTTCACGTTTTCATGTACAGTCACGGTCATACTTCCAACTCCACATAGCTGTAGTCACCACCACAGTGTACCTGCACAGCCACACTGCCTGCCATACCCTCAGCCACACGACCACACACAGAAATGCCACTGCACCCAGCAACTCCAGGGGTGTGTGATCAGCCCCTCAATCTCGCTCTTCCTCTCGGTTGCCCTGACAATCTGACCCCACACTGAATCAATGTCACTCTCACACGCTCAGTCTGGATGTCCCTGCAGCTGTCCTAACCATGTGGCCGCACAGAGTCATTGCCCCGATCAGTCCTAGTCAAGAGGAGCGGGTCCAGTCCCTGCACTCCCAGGGCGAGGCACACAGCTGTCCTCAGATCAAGGTGGCCCTGATGACACAAGGTGGCCTTGCAGTCACAGCGTCCTGGCGCTGGCAGCCAGTGAGTTCCAGGCCACACTGTTCAGTCCTGTTGCAAGTGGTGTCACACCATGCCCAGAGTCTGGACAGAGCTACAATGAAACAGGGTAATGTCACACCACAGCTACAAGGACATCCTGTCGTACAACAATCAGCCTTCCCACAGCCTGTCACAACATTTAGACAGCCTCTTAGCCATCCCAACAAGCTGTTGAGATGTTTGTTAACACGCTGACATGGCCGGCCGTGATTGTCCTCAGGACTCCCCAGACCTGAGTCTTGGAGCCGGGGACAGACAGGCTGAAATCCTCTCCCTTCTACTGGGAGCAAGCAGAGTAGGGAGCGACTAATGGAAGCGCAGCTGTTGTCAGTAGGTGCCAGCCCCCCTCATGAATATTCATCAGCTGGGGCTCTCCTGAACCTGTAGGGAGTCCAAGGTCCCAGGCAGCTGGGTACCCCCTTCTGTGCCAGGAGGCCCTCAGGTGAGGGGGCTCTGCCAGAACTCTGTAGTCCTTGGAACCCACACCCATTTCCACGCCTAAGCATATATGAGCTAAGGGTTTGAGAGCACAGACCCCAGACATGCAAACTCCAAATCACACCCGATCTAACACACAGCTATCCATCAGTACACACCAAGCCGAGCAATAGGCAATGTGAAGTCACAACAGCACCCAGCTACAGACACCTACCACATAGACAGCCATGCCACGTGGGCACCCAGTCACATGACCATAGACACACAGACACACCATTACATCTCCAACACTCGCCATCACAGGCAGAAATGCAACACACATACACATTTCCAGACTTATAAAGCAGTGACCCGAAAGTTACCACCAACAGTGTGGTGCCGAGACAAACCGAGACCTCAAGCACACGAAGCAAGCGCGCGCTGTACGTTGACCACCCCCACACAACTTCTTTTTATATTTTGTTGCACTTATTTGTTATTTCTGTGTATGCAGGTGTGTAGGCATTTGCTTGTGGTCACAAGCCTGTGGAGATCAGAGGACAACTCGTGGAAGTGGGTTCTCCTCCCACCTAGTGTCCTCCCAACGACTTCTTGTAAAACACACAGGCGTCCAAACATTGGGGCACCAATTTGCACAAGTACACACACAGTTCCACCGACCATCAGATGCAAAAGCACAAATACAGCACTGTCCCCAGTGCCCTACACTCCTGCCCTCCCTCTGCCCCACTCTCCTTCCTCCCCCACGCCTCTCTCCCCTCCTCCCCCCCCATGGGGAAACCAGGGCATTGAGGGCTGAAGGGACTTTGAAGATGGAAGCGCCTCCGGACCCCAGGCAGAGGCTAAGACCGGGCGCCCCCTTCTGGCCCAGCCCTGCAAGAGCGTGCGGGGCCGCGGCGGCGCGCGGGGTGGGCACGCGCCCGATGTAACCATGGCACCCTCTTGGCACGCGCGGCCCGCGCGCGGGGAGGGCGGGGCGGGCGCGTTGCCATGGCGCCGGCAGGCCTCCTGAATGCCGCATTGTTCACCGCGGCGCCCCGGTTGGGCTGTCCCGGACCCACCCGGACCCACCCGGGCTGGCAGAGATGGAGTGCAACGAATATGGAGAGACAGTGATAGGGAGAAATGCGGGGACGAAGGTAGGAAGGAAGAGGTGGGCAGAGCGTAACAAGATTCAGGGCGAGGAGACTCGGAAAGAGAGGGCGGGGTGAGAGAAATAGGTCTTATGAGGAAGAGGAAGGGGACAGACCAACACAGTGCCACACAAGTGTAAATCCTACGGGGGCGGGCAGCCGAGGCTCATGAGCTCCAGGCCAATGTCTCTTGTGCTGGGAGGGGGTGGGTGGTGAGGCAGCGAGGAGAAGCTGAGGAGACGGCTGGGTTGGTAAAGAGCGATCCCCAGAACCTATCACTCATGTAAACAACCAGGCAGGATGGGAGCACAGGCCTGTAAGCCTGGGAAGGCAGAGGCAGGTGGACTCCAGGGGACGCTGGCCATCTAGCCTTCCAGATTCCGCAAAAGACCCTGTGTCGAAAAAACGAGGTGGAAAGCTGGGTGTGGTGGTGAGTACCTTTTTAGTCCCAGCACAGGCAGGCAGAGTTCTGTGAATTCCAGGCCAGCCCGGTCAATATGGTGAGTTTCAGGCCAGGCAGGGCCACATAGTGACACCCGGTCCGAGAAAGAAAAGAGTGAGGAAACCTGAGGAACACTATTAAGGTTATCCTCTGGCCTCCATAGGCATGTGTGTGTACGCGGTGCACACACACACACACACACACACACACACACACACACACACAGCACATGTGTATGCTAGAGAAAGGGGCAGACAAGGAGAAAGTAACGCTTAAAGTCCAAGAGGAAGAGCTGGGCAGATGAGAGTGATTTCTGGAGAGGGGAAACGGGGAAGAACAGAGAAGAAGGACAAGCAAAAGCCGAGCCAGCGCGGAAGACGGAAGAAAACAGATTTGAGCAGGAGGCCACGAGACCCGGGCTTCACTGCACCTCTTGGTGTGGCCAGCAATAGGACCAGGCAGGGATGGAACCCCAAGTGAGAGGAGTCTGGGTTCAGAGAGACTGGTGGGTCTGCTCATGGGTTGACAGAGGAAGGACCAGATGTGTCCAGACACAGCGAATGTCCCAAGGAGGCCTAGAGATTCATCTCTGATGCCCTGCCCCCACTCCACTGGCTCAACTGGACACTCCCAGAATGCCCACCTCATCCTGCTAATAAGGCATCATTCACACAGAGGCACAGCCTTCCGGATGCTGCTCCTGACATTCCGGAATACCTTCCCCCAGGGACACACTGTAGTCCTTACAGTGCTTACAGGCGCACCCATAGCAACCACTTGACATAACCATAGACACATGTGACATGTGACAGGGACTCCTACCACACCTTAGAGACACAGAACACACCGGGCTTCATTGCAATCATCCTGTGATCAGCTAACATCACACACCTTGTGGCCAAGGCGTGGTGACACACATCTTTAATCCCAGGACTCTGGAGGCAGAAGCAGGTAGATCTCCGTGAGTCCAAGGCCAGCCTGGTCTACAGAGTGAGTTCAAAGACAGCTAGGGCTACATTGAGGATAGAGGAGACTCTGTCTCAAGAAAAAAAAAAAAAAATCCCACCCCTTTACAAGTTAATGGTACTGCTGTCACAAGAGGCCACCATCTCCTTCTTAGATGTTCAACATCCTACAACCTGTCCAAGAGAGACACTTTTGTAGGACTGAGGGGGCACTGGGCAAACTATTCAGATTTGAGTGGTGGGAGCTGAAAGGCATGAGTCCTCACATGAGATCTGAGATGGAAGGGGAGAATAAGGAAGTCATTCCCAGTCTCCCTCAAAAAGTTGGGTCATGCCGGTCCTTGTGGCCCCACAGCTAGGTCAGTCTAGCCCAAATCTAGACCAAGGGCGGCCCCTGGTGGTCAAATGTTGTCTCTACACTGATCTTTAGGGGCTGTGATAGAAGGCTTAATTCTAGAACCCCAGGCAGAGAGACAAGAGACAAGTCCAGGATGAGCTCACAGAGTCCAGACCCAGAACTCAGCCTAGGTGATCCACGTCCTAGAATTCATAATCACGGTCTAGGTTATGGGGGTCAGGGGTGTGGCTGAGCAGTAAAGCACCTGCTTAGAATCCTCCAATGAGATTCTGGGGACAGGTATGTGCAGGTATCTTCAGAATCCGAAAGAAGAAGAGACTCTAGACCCCAATAATTGAGATGTAGGAAAGCAGATCCAAAATGCAGGACCAACAATCTAAAACCAGATTCACGTTCTAGAATCCAAAATCCAAAACTCTAGATCTGCCAGGCAGTGGTGATGCAAACCTTTAATCCCAGCACTCGGGAGGCAGAGGCAGGTGGATCTCTGTGAGTTCTAGGCCAGCCTGGTCTACAGAGCGAGTTCCAGGACAGCCACGGCTGTTACACAGAGAAACCCTGTCTTGAGGGGGGAAAGTCTAGATCCCCATTGTTTAGAACTGGAATCTTGAACTGAGAACACAGTTCCAAGAACAGAGAAACCAAAACCAGGCCTACACTATCCAGAGCCCTGGGTCTTTGTCAGAACTCTCTGGACCAGAGCCCAACTGTTGAGGGCAGGAACAGACTGAAGGGGCAGAAGAGAATCTGGGGTGAATGTCCACAGCCTCTGCCAGCTGCTGCTGCTTCACACACACACACGCACGCACGCACGCACGCACGCACGCACACGCACACACCACTCTGAAAGGATCTCACACACAAATCCATACCCCCACCACACACAGTCTGTAACTGTAAGAGCCACAGCACTGCATGTCCTCTGATGCGCACCCACAATCACACACACTCCAAGCACTCACACCCTAATACACGCCGTCCTCCGAAGGCAGATCAAGTCTCCAGCACTTCTCATTTAGCACACGCACACTCCTGCTTACCCAGGCACCGGCCCAGTGTCCCAGCCATTCCCCTCCTCCCACCCTACAAACCCTAGGACACACGGCCCCACTCAGAACAAACCCCGAGACCCCCAGGCCTGTGCCCAGACACACTAGGGGAGAATAGCTAAGGAGGCTGGGATGGGTGTGTGTGTACTCATATTGTGTGAGCACATACACAGAGTGCAGAGAAGCTTCACGCCTTGGCAGCTAGACAACCCCTGGGAACCAGACCCCAGGGATGGGGTTCACCGTGCACCCCCTTACCCACCCCAGCCCTCCCCTGCCTGGCCGGCTGGCGGGCTTTAATACAGATGCCAAACTCATAATTGTAACTGAGGGTGACAGGGTCACCTTGAGCCCCAGATGCTCGCACGATGACAGATGGCGTTGGCAAACCTGATTAGCGGCCCTCGGTGCCAGAGCCTGTGGCACCTGCCTCCCCGCCCCTCCCCCCACTCCCCCAGCTCTCATTACCCACCCATTACTGGGCCTGGGGGGCAGCAGCGGGGGCCGACTGGCACTGCCTGGGAGGGCGCAGTGACTCTGGGCCCCCCTGGCACCAAGGTTCCCAGCTGGCTCTCCAGGCTGGCAGGAGGTGGGCACAGCTGAGGTGGAGGGATGCAGGCATCTTGTGCCTGCCAGAAAAGGGGTGCCAGGGCTGAGCTGCCAGCTCAGACACTGCATGAGGCTGGCCACCAAGCTCTAGGGACAGGCAGGAGGGCGCCCCCCACCCCCAGGGCTCCATGACCCTCCCTCTAGGACGCTCTTGGGAGCTGGCAGTCAGGCGGGTTCCCACCCCTCTGTTCAGGCCTGTGAGGTCAAGGGTCGCAGCTCCCAGCCGCGCTGTCCCATCTGTTTCCTTGTGGGGGGCCCTCCTGTTCCCCTCACCTGGAGCCTTCCTTCCTGAGGCAGGAAGAAGGGCGGGAGGGGGGCGCTTGACCAGCTCCCTCCACCCTGCACTGGGGGTGGGGGCATTTGGAGGCGACGCTGCCACATGTCTCTGAGTCTCTGCCAAACGGCCCCATCTGCCAGAGCCCTGGTTCCAGCCGCCCAAAGCTAGGCCGCCTGGCTGCCGCACACCCTGCCCCCTAGCTGAGGAGGGAGCCCCCTACCCAGGAAACCCAGTCAGAGAGGCGCACGCACAGCTGGACTTGGCCAACCTTTATGATTCCCGTGGAATGCCAAGCTGGGGGTGGGCTGCTGCGGGGACTCGGGTGGGGCAATAAGGGAAACCCCAGCCTCTGTCAGTGAGAGAGGCAGCTGCGCACACTCGGGGTCGCCTCTGGCTGGGGCCAGGTTTTCCAAGCAGCTGCTTCCCGCTTGCCTGCCATGGTTTTTTTTTTGTTGTTGTTGTTGCTGCTGCTGCTGCTGCTGTTTTTCTGGTGTCCCTAGAACGGGGTCATCTTTGCTGAGTGTCCGTGTTTGGGTGATGCTGTCATCCTGGGAGTTAGGAGTGTCTGGCTCGGACAGAGAGACGCAGTGCCACCTCGTGGTCGGCAGCGGAACCCCAGGCTGGGGGAGGGGCTCAGCGGGGAGCTGTGTTGCCTTGTGCAAGGCCTGTGTCTCGACCCCACCCTCCAAAACAGTGAGAGTGCCTCAAAGGCTGCTTCGGTTTCCTCATCTGCAAAATGACCTGTGGTGAAGTCCCACCCTGCGGGACGGCTGGGGATTGACTCTTGAGGACGTGTGAGTTAGTGCTTGTGGAAGGAATAGTCCCTCCCTCACAGGGCCCTGTGAATCACACACTACAGCTAATTTTCACTTTTCCCCTCCACATATCCCCGTGCTAAGAATGGAACCCAGGGCTTCATGCATGGCAGGCAAGCCCTTTCCCACTGAGTTACACCCCACCCCACATGCTATGACTATTAGTGGTTTAAACCCATGACTGGGGAACCATGTCTCATGTTCCAGGAGCAAGATGAGGACCTTGTGGACCTGTCCGTCTGTCCTTCTAACCCTGCTCTCTTGACCTGATGTACATAGTTCAGGTCACGTCTTTCTACGGCAGCTCCTGTTTCTTTCCGAGGTTCAGATGCTGCGCGATCCTCCACGACACTCGGCTCACGGCTTCGGACCACACTGGCACTTCTGCACTAGAGTGACAGTCATCCTCACTCGCCGAGGGGAGGCTGCGTGGCCAGCCCCACACCACAGCACCACCGACGTCCAGCGCTTTTGAGCTGGCACACAGCTGTTGCAGAGGACAACCGGGGTGGGATCCGAGCTGGGAATGTAGAAGGAGGAACAATGTCCGAAACACAGATGATTGAGGACCCTGGCCGCTGTGCAGCCAGGCCTGGAGAGCACCTGCAAGCAGAGACAGGGACAGTCAGCTCTGTGCAGTCTGGGGCCAGAGGGATGAAAATAATTACCATCCACTTCTACCCCGACAGAAAGGTGGAGGTGCTGAAGGGAGGTGGCCTGGATTTAAGTTCTGAATCTTCCTTCTGGCTGCGTGGCCTGCAGGAAGGTATTCAACCTTTCCAAGCCTCTTTCTTGGATAAAATATTCGAATCAAGGGCTGGGGAGAGTCAGTAAAGTGATGTGGTGCAGGCCCGAGGGCCCGAGTTCAGATCCCCAGCACTCACATGAACTAGGACTCGGGCCTGTAATCTCAGCACTGGGAAGGGAAGACAGCCCTGGGCTTGCTGGCCAGCCCAGCCTAGCCGAATTGGTGAGCTCCTGGGTCAGTGAGAGTGCTCGTCAGATCAGGCATGAGGGAGCTGGAGAGGCGGCTCAGTAGTTAAGAGCACTAACTACTCTTCTACAAGACCTAGGTTCAATTCCCAGCACCCATCTGGCAACTCACAACTTCTCCAGGGGTCTAACACCCTCTTCTGGGCACCAAGCATGCTGATAGCACACAGATATACGTGCAGGCAAAACACTCATAAAATTAAATTTTTTTTTAAAAGAACAAAGCAGTTAAGGACCCTGACATCAACCCCTGTCCTTTGCACACGTGTGTGCCCTCACACACATTCCCATATAAAAAACCATCCAAATTAAACTGGAAAGCTGGGCCTGGTGGTGCAGACACACACATCACAGACTTTCTGGGGGCCAAGACTGGGGATCAAGATCAAGGCCCATTTGGGAAACTTACCGAGACCCTGTGTCAAAATAAATAGAAAACCAGAGCTGGGGCGTAGCTCAGTAGAGCACCTAAATTGACATGCGCAAGGCTTGGGTCCCATCCCCAGTGCCACAGAAAAAGGAAAGTCAAGGTGGGGGCGGCTAGAGATGACTCGGCTCTCAGTCACCCCTAACTCCAGTTTGGGGGGGGTCTGACATCACTGTCAGGCGTGAGGCACACACCTGGTGTAATACTAATGGGAGGTAAAACATACACATTAAATCTTTTTTTAATCAAGCTGGGTATGGTGACTCATACCTGTAATCCAAGAACTTGGGAGGCTGAAGGAAGGGTCGCCATGAGTTTGAGACCAACCTTAGCTGCTCAGTGAGTTCTATGCCAGCCTAGGCTATAGTGTGAAACCCTGTCTTTTTTATTGCTTAAAATTAAATTTATTTTGTCGGGGTGACGGGTGGTAGGGTTCACGTGCCATGGTGCCCATGTGGAAGTCAAGGACAGATTGTGGGGGTCAGTTCCTTTCCTCCGCCGTATGGGTCCCAGGAATCAAATTCAGATAGTCAGGCTTGCTGACAGCGCCCTTACCTGCTGGACCACTTCTCTACCCTCTGAAGTACTATCTACACACACACACACACACACACACACACACACACACACACACACACACACCGTAGTGGTCCGCAGGACGGCTCAGTGGTCAAGGCCACTGCAAATCTGATAACCTGAATTCAATTCCTGTGACCCACACAATGAAGGGAACCAGTTCCCACAAGTTGTCCTCTGACCTCCACACTTGGGTCATGGAACACACACACACACACAAAATAAGTATAATTACATTTTTTGAGACAGGGGCTCACTACATTACCCTAGCTAGCTGGAACTTGCTGTGTAGACCAGGCTGGCCTGGAATTCCCAGAGAACCACCTGCTTCTGCTTCCCAAAGGTTGGGATTAAAGGCGTGCAACACTATGCTCAGAAAATTTTAAAAAGGAAAAGAAGAAACTACTTGAAACCTTTTAAAAAATTTATTGTTTGTTTTTGAGATAGGTCTCATGTACCCCAGGCTGGCTTCAAACTCACTATTTAGCGGAGGTTGGCCTTGAACTCCATAGCCTTTTGCCTCAGCCTCCCAAGTGTTCCACTAATACATGCCCAAGGCCCTGGGTTCCACTCCCAGCACTGGAAGAAAAAGTAGAGATAATCCCTGGCCCACCCCCATGCTGGGCCCCACTAAACCCAGACGACGCTGAGACCAACGATACGTCCCTATTTACAAAGGAGGAAACTCAGGCTTGGAGCTGTCTAAGACCACACAGCCACAGGGAAGGCTGCCAACCGAAGTGTCCTGTGCCATCGGGGGCAGGTGCCCCTCTGGGCTCAGCAGTGAGCTAGACTCACAGTTGGGTTTTGTTTTGCTAGGTGCAGCCATTGGCTGGTAGGCAGCAGCAGACGCAGAATGTGGAGTGGGCACGGTGATGTGTGTAACCCCAGGACTCAGAAACATGGGGTCACAAGTTCCAGGCCAGCCTGGACTATTTGGTGAGACCTATCTTGAAAGGGAAAAATAGATTTGGGGCAAAACATATTAATCGGGGTCTTCTGAGTTCCAAGGTTTGATGGGCAAATACCAAGCCAGAGGGTTTGGGGAAGCGGTTCCCTACTGAGCATAGCCAGGGGAACTCTACCCCTGAGATCATTGCCTCTGTTACATGGGAGTGAGGAAAGGGAGAAAGCAAGGTACAGACACCAACAGTGAAGCAGGATTTGAACTCGGCATAGAATGAGAAATCCCAAAGCCCTTCTGGAACACCAACTGAATGCAGATATGAGATCGTTTCCTGTTCAGCCGCTCCACAGCCCAGAAAGGCATGTGCTACTAGTCATTCATTCAAACAAACACCAAGAGTCCACTGTGTGCCTGGCCCTGTCGTAAGGCATGGGGACAGGTATATTGAAAAGAACAAAATCAAATAACCTCTGCCCTGGGATGGAGGATGTAGCGCAATAGGTAGAGTACTGCCGGGATCGGTGGCGCACGCCTTTAATCCCAGCACTCAGGAGGCAGAGGCAGGCGGATCTCTGTGAGTTCGAGGCCAGCCTGGTCTACAGAGCAAGTTCCAGGACAGGCTCCAAAGCTACACAGAGAAACCCTGTCTCGAAAAACCAAAGAACAAACAAACAGAAATAGGTAGAGTACCTACCTAGCATTTTTGAGGTCCTGGGTTCCACCTCCAGCACCACACAAACTGGGCTGTGGTGCACACCTGTAATCCCAGCATTCAGGAGGCAGAGGCAGGAGGATAGACATTTACAGCCAGCCCCAAGCTACATAAGACTTGGCCTAAAACAACAAAGCCTCCACTCCAAGATGGATGTGGTCACTCACACCTATGATCCCAGAAGAAGGATCACTGAGCTACAGAGCAGTCTGCAATACTTAGCAAAACCCTCCTTACACACACACACACACAGACACACACACACACACACACACACACACACAGTGTCGTGTCAGGAGCGGAGTGAGGAGAATGGGGTAGCCAAAGTCAGAGAGGTCAAAGAATGTAGAACCTTGTGGGCTCTGAGAACCTGGGCTTTTGTTCAGAGGAGAGAGCCATGAGGGTTTGGAGGGAGCAAGGGACATGTATTTGTCAACAGCCTCCTCCTGGCTGCTGAGCAGGAAAGTGGAGTCAGCAGCTGCAGACGTGGCTCAGTGGTGCAGCTGGCCTCACATGCATGAGGCCCTAGGTTCCTGCAAACCAGCACACATGAGGTGAAATCTGGATCTTAAGATCATTTGGCTACAGAAGTCAGCCTGGGCTACATAAACCCAGCCTCAAGCTCATTTTAGCTACACAGAGGTCAGCCTGGGCTACAGGAGCCAATGTCTTAAAAAAAAAAAAATGGAGGGGGAAAAGGAAATAGATTTGATGAAGATGGAGTAACCTGAATTTCATAGGCATTTAAATGGAAGATTTAGGACTTGAGACTTGATTGCAAATCTGCCTGAAGCCAGAGGGTGTCCACCACCGCTGCCGCCACCTCCACCACCACCGCCACCGCCGCCACCGCCGCCGCTGCTGCCGCCGCCTCACCTGAATGAAGGCCACAGCTTTACATGTCTCCTGGAGCACTTCCTGGGGGACCAAGGGCAAAGACACACCAGCAGCCTCTCTCTGCCCTCCATGCAGCCCGCCTGCTCCTTGCTGTTTGTCTTGTAGGCTCAAGAAGGCCTTCCAGCTACCCAGGGCAGAGGCTGGCACCAGAGGATCCAGAGTCCAGCTCTGATTGACAGCAGCCCAGGCCTGAGTGGAGATAGATGGAACCCTAGGCCTCCCTGAGCCTGTGGGTAGCCACGCCCCACTGAGCAGACCCAGCAGCGTGGTTAACTGGCCACGCAGCATCACTTAGCTGTGCGGTCGTCAGTCAGTCTTGGAGTGGGCTCAGGGTCCCAGGCAATGGACCCTGCTGTCTAGAGTGTGAGTCTGGGTCCTCAGAGGTCTGCTTTTCACCCCTCTCCCCTCCCAGCAGCCCAGAGGTGGTTCTGGGAGCTCCCAGCAGGGAAGGAAGGCAAGCTGACCTGTCCAATCCCACAGCTCCTCCCAGCCTGCTGTGAGTCCCAGTGGGGGCTGAGCCTGCTCCATGGGGACCATGAGAATCCAGGGAGGCAGGTCTAGGGGACAGAGGCTTAGGAGTCTTTTGAATCCTGAGACCCCCATTTATCCACCCTTCAGTGACTTTGAGGTTCCATGCTCTGTCCTGCAGTTCTGTGGCTGTGCACGGCCATTAACCACTCGGGGCTTCAGCCCCCTCTTCTGGAGTAGGATGCTGGGAACATCTCTCCCTCGGAGACTGGAGAGAGGACTCAGAAAGACCTGAAAACAGGTGTTGATACACACTGGTGGCAGAAGCCCATTATGTTTTTTTCTTCCTGTTCTGAGGAGGGAACCCTTAGTTATGATAAGCTGGAGCTCTCTGCAACACCCCTGTGCCCAAACAGTAAGGAGTTAACACGACTGCTATTATTGTCTTTTTGGGTGAGAGGGTTGAGACAGGATTTCCCAGCCCAGACTGGCTATAACCTTGGGCTTCTTCCACCTCATTCTCTTGAGTGCACAGATTAGAGGTATGGGCCACAACTTTCGTATCTGTCATCCCAGCACATGAGAGGCTGAGGCAGGGGGATCAGAAGTTTAAGGGCAGCCTGGGCTAAAGAGTGATTTTGTTTCAAAGAAAAAAAAAATAAATGGAACGAGCTTCACAGGGGTCAAAGTATGGGTTTCTGATCCCAGGGCAGTCAGGGAAGACCCCCGGAGAAGGTGATACTTTTGCAGAGAGCTGAGATGCTGATGCAGACATGGGAACAGAGTGGTGGGAAGTACACAAAGGATGTGAGATTGCGCCCCAGGCTTTGGGGGCCTCGAGGCGCCTGGGGGGTCCAGCCCTAGCACCTCAGAGGCATGTATCTCACACCCAGGTGAGGAGGGGCAAGGCCAGGCCGCAGGAGCGTGAGAAGCTGCGGCCTGGGTCTTTCCCGCGGCCCGCTCGCCATCTGGCGGCAGCTCCCGGGACTGCGTGGTCGCCGTGCCCCGACACCCGCCTCCAAGCGGACTCTTACCCCAACCCATCCTTTCTGCTGTCCTCCAGCCAAGGCCAGTTCCATCCTGCCAGAGACTGAAGCGCCAAATGTCGGGGCGGCCTTGACCCTCTCTCTGCCATCTCCGCCCCACTTGTTACGTCTGCCTTCTGCGTGCTGGGATTAATAGCTTGCATTTTCACTCTGGACTTGACTACGCCACTTTATAAGAGGCTTGAGCACATAGGGCAGCGATTCTCAAACTGTGGATCAAGGACCCCTGATCAAGATCAGGGCCGTCACATATCAGATATCCTGCATTTCAGATATTTACATTATGATCCAAAGAGTGGCACAATTTACGGTTGGTTATGAAGTAGCAACAAAATAACTCTATGGGGGTCAGCACACCGTGAGGAACTGTATTAAAGGGTGGAAGCATTAGGAAGGTTGAGAACCACTGACCTAGCACTTTGGAATCCACAAGGCACCAGGAGCCACGCCGCACAGGTAGAGGACTAGAATAAGACTGGGAGTCCTAGAAAGAAGCCTGAGCAGTTAAGAACTCTTGGGGAGGACTTGAATTCAGTTCCCAGCACCAAGTAACAACAGCTGCAAGGGATCCCACACCCTTGAGCCTCCAGGGGCACTGCACTCATGCACATACCCACACATAGATGCACACATTCTAGATGTAGTTCTACCACTCACCTACACTCAAACCCTCAAGAATCCTTGCTTTTAAGAACAAATCCCAGGTCAAGGAGATGTCTCAGTGTGCTTGCCATTCGAGCCTGGCAACCCGAGTTACACCCCTGAAAGTTGTCCTCTTACAGATGTGTGTGGCATGCATACCCACATGCACACAGACACATAACTAGTGAAGTTTTTGATTTTTAAAAAGTCACTTTAATGTGTGTGAATGTCCTGCCTTTGTTTAGGTTTGTGCACTGTGTACATGCCTGGTGCCCTAAGGGGCGGAGTCACGATCTTCCCTGGAACCAGAGCTACAGAGCATCCGAGGACAACTGGCAGGAGCCCGTTCTCTCCCTCCACCGTGTGGATTCTGGGGATCAAACTCCAGCTGTCAGGCGCTGCTGAGCCATGTTGCTGGCCCTACCCCTTGATTTTTACATGAACTATTATGAGCATGCAGCTAAGTGAAGACAAATTGCAAAGCCATCCCAGACACCTCATCATCCTAGGGAAGGCCCCTGAGATGGCCCCGAGTGGCAACACACTTGCCACTAAGCCTGACAACCTGAGTCCAATACCCAATACACACATGGTGAGAAGAGATAACGGAGTCCCCCAAATTCTCTTCTGATTGCCACATGTGCACTGAGGGTTGTGGACACATAGGAAATAAATGTGATAGTTTTTAAGATGGTGGCAGTGTTCCCTTTAATTCTAGCACTTGGGAGGCAGAGGCAGATGGGTCTCTGTGAGTTCGAGGTGAGCTTAGTCTACAAAGTGAGCTCCAGGACAGCCAGGGCTACACAGGGAAACCCTGTCTAAAGAGGGGAAGGGCTTTCATATTGTACATATTTTCCCCATTTTGATTTTAATGGATTTATTCATTTTGAGATAGTCTGACTTTGAATCCCTGGCTGGCATGGAACTTGATATGTAGACCAGGTTTACCTCAAGACTTCTGACTCCCTTAGGGCTGAGATTTAAGGTATGTACCACCAGAGTGGGTCCAAGATCAAACTCCTTTTTTTTTCTTTTCTTTTCTTTTTTGGAAGTGTCTGGATAAGGCAAAACTTACTCTTTTCCAAGAGGGTGCTTTCAAAAGAGCAAACACAGAGAGATTGGAAGTGCGCTTAGTTTTCATTCTCGCTCAGGTGGTAACTGTGTCTTTTCCGCATTGGCTGGGGTCAAAGATCAAGCTCTCAAAGCATTGATTGCTCTTATATTTCGAAATGGTCACAGTTCTTAGAAAGTGTACACTCATATGTTTTACAGCGTGTTAAACCAAAATGCTGTAATTAACCAACATACTATCACTTTTGAATCATAGACATAGTTCCTATATTTGAGTTTTTTAAAAAAAGCATGTTTCTAGACATGAATCTGAAGCTTTCAGTGTTCTGCGGTATGAGACATTCATTCACATAAACAAAACAGTTGTAGCCTTAAATATGCCCACTGCCCAAGCACAGACCTCCAACAACAAAAGATCAAGGTTAAAACAACCTTTGGAGAATTATTTTTATTTATTGGCACATGCCTGCCACATGTATGCAGGCACCCTCAAAGGCCAGGAGGCCAGAAAAGGTCACTGGACCCCTGGAGCTAGAGTTATGTGTCAAAAGACTTTCTACATGGTTGCTGGAGACTGAACTCTGGAAACACACCACATTCTTAACCAATGAGCTATCTCTGTAGTCCATCTTTGTTTATTTCTGTCCTGTGTGTCTCCCTCACTGGGAATCACTGGAAGGATTACTATTCAAGAAACCAATGAGCTGTTTCATCTAGTCTAAGTTTATTTTCTGCTATACTACTATGGAAAGGAGGGTTCACAGGAGTTTTTGTTTTGTTTTTTCATTTAAAAATTATGTATTTTGGGCCGGGCAGTGGTGGCCCACGCCTTTAATCCCAGCACTTGGGAGACAGAACCAGGCGGATCTCTGTGAGTTCGAGGCCAGCCTGGTCTACAGAGTGAGATCCAGGACAGGCACCAAAACTACACAGAGAAACCCTGTCTCCGAAAACCAAAAAAAAAAAAAAAAAAAAAATATTTGCTGGGCATGGTTGCAGACACCTTTAGTTCTGGCACTCAGGAGGCAAAGCCTGGTCCATCTCTTTGAGTTTGAAGCCAGCCTGGTCTATATATCAAGTTCCAGGCCAGCTAGAGCTATATAGTGAGATTCTGTCGAAAGAAAGGAAGGAAGAAAAGGAGGAAGGGAGGGGAGGGGAGAGAGAGAGAGAGAGAGAGAGAGAGAGAGAGAGAGAGAGAGAGAGAGAGAGAGAGAAGGAAAGTCTCAAGTATTTTTGCTAGAGGCTGTGGTGCAGGACTGTAATGGAAACTCTCTAGTGGCTGAGGCTGAGGCAGGAAGGTCTCAAGTGTGAGTCTAGCATGGGCTCCAGTTCTCCAGACTGTGTCTTAACACACACCAGACACACACACACACACACACACACACACACACACACACACACACACACACTGGGGAGATGGCTCAGTAGATGAAGTGTTTCAGTCACAAGTCTGGAGCTGCATGTCAGTCAATTTAGATGACTTGGGAGCTCTAGGTTCAGTGAGAGACCCAACCTCAAAAATAAGTCGGAGGAAGTCAGGGGTGGTGGTGCACTCAGGAGGCAGAGGCAGGCTGCCTGGTCTACGTATCAAGTTCCAGGACAGCCAGAGCTACATAGAGAGATCCTATTTCAAAATAATAAAAAAATAATTATGATAATAGTAATAATAATGCAGAGGGGGCTAGACGGATGACTCAAAAGTTAAGAGCATTTGTTGGTCTTGCAGAGAACCAGGGTTCAGTTCCCTGCATCCACATGGTGGCTCCAAACCATCCCTAACTCCAGTGCAGGGAATCCTACGCCCTCTTCTGGCCTTTTCAGGCACCAGGCACACACACTGTGCACATACATATACATACATACATGCAGGCAAAGCACTCATATACATAAGTAAGTCTAAAAAATAATAATGTAAGCTGAGTAGTGGTGCACACTTTTAATGCCAACACTCAGAGGCAGAGGCAGGTGAGTTCAAGGCCAGCATGATCTACAGAGTTCTAAGACAGCCAGGCTACACACAGAGAAACCCTGTCTCGAAAAGAGAAACAAAACAAAACAAAAAAAAAAAAAACTTGGCCTTTACATTCACCTGCACATACTACACAACCTCATAAAAAAACTGCACACACACACACACACACACACACGGCTCGAGAGATGACTCAGTGGTTAAGGGCACTCACTAATCTTCTAGATGTCCTAGGTTCACTTCCCATATTCCCATGGGGATCACAACTGTCTATAACCCCACTTTCAGGTGTACGATGTCACCTGCAGGCACCAGGTGCAATATGCTACACACACAGACACATAAAAAATTCTTTTTGAGGGGAGGGGGAGGGCTGGAGAGAGGGCTCAGAGGTTAAGAGCACTGGCTGCTCTTCCAGAGGTCCTAAGTTCAATTCCCAGCAACCACAAGTAGCTCACAACCACCTGTGATGAGATCTGGTGCCCTCTTCTGGCCTGCAGGCATACATGCAGGCAGAACACTGCACACAAAATAAATAAATCTTTTTTTTCTTAAGAATTAAAAAAAAGGATTTATTTATAATGTATAAAAAAGAACATTTTAAAGATTTATTATGCATAATGTTCTGTCTGCATGTATGCCTGCATGCCAGAAGAGGACACCAGATCTCATTTCGGATAGTTGTGAGCCACCATGTGGTTGCTGGGAATTGAACTCAGGACCTCTAGAAGAGCAGCCCTTGGCCGGGAGGTGGTGGCGCATGCCTTTAATCCCAGCACTCGGGAGGCAGAGTCAGGCGGATCTCTGTGAGTTCGAGGCCAGCCTGGACTACCAAGTGAGTCCCAGGAAAGGCACAAAGCTACACAGAGAAACCCTGTCTCAAAAAGTCAAA